CCCCCCCCACATACAGTTCACTCACGACCGTGGGAAGATTGTATCAGCAGCCGCGGCGAAGACTCTTTGGAGGGAAAATCCGCGGAACGCGAAGAATGGCAAGCTTTTTGCTGTCGGCGCGAATCGTCATCGAGTACTGACCGGACCATGGGAGCCAAGTGATCTGTGTTTTTACTGTAACAGTCATGCGTATAGTTGTTGATGTTTGCTTTTGTTTGTGATTCTTTGATTAATTTTGATTCTGTGTACCCGACCGGATTTATTTTTGCTTCTGTGCGTTTACTGATAGAGAACTGTGTCGTTGGTACATTCAATGATTTAGCGATCTCAAACCCTGCAGGACGTGTAACATTGATTGTAACAATTGTAACCTTTCCGCCGTGTGCGTTCGTCCATCACCTCCGGTGTCTTTCTTTGCGCTAGTCTGGTCAATTGGCTTAAGAATGAAGCGAGACGAAAACGAACTAAAAAGTTTATTGGAGTGGCCTGTTGTTTTTTTTCTCAGGTTGGCGGTAGCGTATTCATGCTGTGCAGTGCTGAAAGTTATCGTGCACGTTTCCGTTGATGTGCTATGTTTATACTCAAGAAAGTTTATGGCCAGGCGGAATTGCGGACTCAATTGTCGTCCCTCTTTCAGTGATTGATTGTTGTTGATGTGGACAAGCTATTTACCGACAGACTTGTCACCGCAGTATGACAACACTGTCAATGCATATACAGAGTGACTAGTCCGTGATTGGTCGTGATGCGATGTTTGTTTCGTACCGTTCATGTGATGTATCGTACCGTTTCCGTCATTGAAGCCATGAAATGTTTGACGACCACTATTTATACGTCCTGTTCTTTTTTTTCGAGCGGGTTTTAGTCAACCGTCATTAAAAAGCTTTTGTCTGCTGTGCGTGGCATCTCTCCCTCCCCCCGGCTTCCCTGCCCCTCTGAATGCTGCTGACTTTCCCTTGACCAGGCGCGCGTCTGATCGGGGGTCGCGACTTTTTGCGTCCGTTTCTCGTGTCGAGTGCGAAATTTTAGCGATTCATCGTTGCAAGCGCTAGGTCTCTTTTTAGTACTCGCTGGTCGCCCGCCGTCATGATCTGTGAAACACTTGGAAAGTGTTGCTGTTAGCTGTTCAGCGGCCGAACGTGAAAAGTAGAAGTAGTTAGTCGTCAAGGCGCGAATATGAATCTCGAGCTGTCGGCGATCAGCAACCCGACCGTTGTCGTGCTTCTCTGACACCGTTGTTCGACGAGTACGAGGAGCGACGAGGTCGTCGTCATTATAGTAGAGTGCAAAAATTGGTACTTCGATATTTTCTGTTGTCGTACGTGAAACTTAAAATGAATGCTGCTTTTACATAAAATGTACATTTAGTTACAAATTGCTTTCGCGTAAAATCAATCAGTCAGTTTTCGATGACCGCTTGTCCTTTCGAGTCCAGACGCGTCAGGAAGTGCTTTCAGCAATTCCGATCCTGCGCCAGTATCTGAGCTTCGGTAAAAGACAACTGGAATCTAGATCAGACTCAGTTCAAGTATTTGTACCAGGTTAATCTTCGCCGTCCTGAACAAGCTGTAGCTGCTTCGTCTTCTGTTGCGGAGGCATTCGCATCATGTACCAGAACCGTTCCGGTTGTGACTTCTCAGTCTGAAGAAGCAGCGGCTGTACTCCTAGGCTGTCGCAGATTTCTGTATTCTGGACAGTATCGAATCGCACAAAATAAAAAGTTTAATGACTCTTTTAAACCAGTTCGTTTTTTTCCTTTCCGTCAAAAATTTACAGAAATACGAGTCTGTGGCCCGTGAGTTATAAGATCGTTTCTTTCGCGGCATAAGAGATGCACGCGCGGCGCGAATGATCGTTACTTCGGCGATCGATTCGATTGCCTGCTTGCTGGCTCTCGAAACGAATGAGTCACGAGCGAGTGTGAGTCATGTCCAACGACAGCTAGTTTCGGTTGTGGTATGCGACGGCACTCTTCGCCGGACACGTACCTACGGACGGATGGGCATGTTGAGTTCGCTTGGCGTGTGTTGTGATTTTGTTGTTGGTTGGCCTCCGCCGTTGCCGTCGGTACACTGTTACCTTATGTGAGCGAAGTCGGTTGCAAATGTGCGTTGATGTTTCTTATTTAGTGCGGATTTGAAATTCAATCACCGGCTCGGCCGAAGCAACGACGGTTTGAGGAGGTGGCAGCTGATGGCTCAGTCAGCCTCTGCGTCGACAAACGGCTCCCGTGTTCTAATCCGGGTGCAATTATTTGTTGGTCATTTCATCGAGGTAGGTGAACGGCGACGGTCATGAAAGAAAATGAGACTGCTTCGTTTGCTACCCTTGACTTGACTGGTCTGCAGCAAACAGTTGACACTTGCCAAATGATCGCAGTATACTTTTGTAGTACTCGTACGTGTGCCAAAGTATGTCTGTGACAGTATAACTCAGCAACTTATTAGCACTACAGTTAAACCATCGGTGCAGTACACTATGAAATTTGCGACGTAACAGATTTATTCCCTAAAATAATGTATTTATTATCATCATTCTGTTTTTCTTCGTTTTTGTTTGTTCGCGCACTACAAACGCAAGTCGACTTTGCTAGAGTCTCTGTCTTTTTCTGCGCGCTAAATCTTACAAGTATGATGTGCTGCAGTCCGTTCAAGATGGTAATCGTGATGAACGATTACCGACGTCTCCGCAGCTTTCCGAAGCCCGACGGATTCATGGAAATGCATAGCTATTGAGACTGGTGGTGGATAGACATTACTGACAGGTAGTGGGCAGCACCACTGTTAAACTTACCTGGAATAAATTCTTGTAACACTTTCAGATCCATTGCCTATATCAGGAAGAAGCATTTCGCTGCAATGAAAAAAATTTGTCCAAAATTTCGACCGTAACAGTTTAAGCGCTAGCGCTTCATTCGTATCTTCATTGTCTAGTATGGTATTAAGCGATCTGAGCTGACTCTGTCCTGTTTTTCTTTACGTTGGTGGGAGCAGATCACTGCTAAAGGCTTAATTCACAGATTTCTCCGGTGATAGCGTCGTATGTCGAAGTGTTCTCTGTTTACTGCTGTGACGGGTGTATGACAAGCACGAGTAAAGTACAATAATCTACCCCACTGTCAAGGATGACAGGCTGGTGTACGTTTTGGGAAAACGCTGTTATATTGGATTTTCTTGATCTTCACTATCCAAATAGCCAATCGTTTACGAATGACAGCTGATATATCGATGATAGTTTTGCTTCGCCGTACAACGATAGATGCCTTCCTGCAGATATCCTCATTTGTGAGCTGTTTCTCCTCTAGATCGACAGATCAAAACGACATCATGGTTTGGTCATGTTCAAATAGCTCGGGAATGACTTTCATGGTAAACTCTCTAGAACGCTACTTGGAGGACGCCGAATGGGCAGACCGACATCCAAATTACTCGAGTATTGCGTGCACTTGATCCTGTCGTGTGTTGAAATCTTTGGAATTCGGCCCTGACGAGATGCAGACGACCAGGACGACGGGAAAATTCTCTTAAATCTATGGGTTGACAATCTGAAAGTGACTGCAGGCTTTGAAGCTCAGTGAGTGAATTCGTAAAAAACGGGAGACTCCGCTGAAGTGGCTTCATAGCAAGTTATTCTTCAAACTTTTCTCGATCCTGTCCTGGTTAATTATTCAGCTATTTCTTCTCGATAGATTATTGGAGACAGAAAGCATGTATTCATCCAACCACAACAGTGTTCACCTGATCCGGATTGTTGCTTTCAGGAAAAGCAATAAGCGGTTCTGTTGAAGCATTAGACATTGAACGCCGTGAAAGATGTGTTCGTACTACACCAACGCGTATCATTTCATGGGGCAAAGGCACGAGGCTGCAAGGTATAGCGGCCGAAAACTTGTAGAGGTCACTTCTTACTTTTGGCAAACCCTTGGTTGATGAAGTCACCGGGGCGTTTCAGTTCTCTCCTTCTTGACATCCCTGGTATATACTTTAACATTTTTGTGCGTCATGCAATTATTAATAAGCTCAATATCATAGTGATGGCAGGCGTTTTTTCTTGCATTCGCTCATTCTTTCAGACCATCATTCCTTTCATCCGACACAACAGTAGTTTGCATTGTGTTTACTTAAACTGTTGTTCCTGTTTCAGCGTCGCTGCCCAAGTCTCGTTTCAGTTTAGAGCATCGCAGTCAGTGAATCGATGACCAATCAATCTGATGACCAGAAAGCCGTCGCACTTATATGAGCTCCCCACCTGCTAAGTCAGTCAGGTTGTGTGTCTGCCGTGGATACTGCTAGTGGTTCGTAACCGAATTTGTGGCATTTTTGCTTCTTGTAACTATTCTTCATTTACCCTTTCTCTATGGCGTACTACTTTCGGATATTGAATTCTGTTTTCTGCGAAGGTCTGTTTCTGTTTCCTAGTACTAGTGTTTAATGGCGAAGCTGGCTCTGACGGTTATTCTTGGACTTGGAGCGGGCCATGCCTGTACCGATTGAAAATGTTTATTCCACTAAGAATCGAGAATCAAAACGTCATTTCTTACTTAGAGAAAGATGAAAGATAAGAACCAACATAGAAAGGTACGTCATTTACTCGGTCAGTGCATATAACTGTAGCAACCCCGGGGTCGCATGAGGTTTTGCATAATTTGGAGAAGTTTTTTTCGGCAATCAAGGTCGCATAATTGTCTATTTTGTTATTAGGTGTGCCCAAATTACATATCTTTCTGACAGCCTTCACTAACTGCCAGTGTTCATCTACCCGGTTAAGTGTCCAGTCTCTTAACATTGCCGGACTGATCTTTTTTCTTCTCTACTGCTTTTATCAGCGATTCTTCATCCGACAAGCATGATGACAGATATACGCATGTCAGCAAAGTTTCGTTCATTGAATTTCAAATCCCGCTGTTTTTTGGGTCAGGGGAGGAATTTCACCAACCGCGGAAACATTTTACCGATAACCTCGTCTTCCAGCAGTTGAATATAAATCTAAAACTTAAAGAGTCCTTTTTCATGCTTTGCGCTGTTCGTTGAAGTCATCTTGATCGGATAGCAGGTTCGCTAGTACGATTGTGTAGTCTGGTTGACTGCTACGCACCCGCCACACCGGGAAGTCGTAGCATACATGTCCAGCG